TTTAGCCGAAGAAATCGCTCAGCCCCGAGGGAACAGCATATGATTTTTTTTTCCATGTGCTCACTTTGGTGGTTTCACCATAAACCTCAGGATTTATAGCCGCCGGGAGAAGTTCAGAGCGAATCAGCTCTGTATCCACTGCTCAGAAAAGCTGCCTCCTGATTGGCACAAGTACAGTTGTTCCAGATAACCCCTTTTTATGTAACGCCGGGGTTGTAGCGCACTACATAACAGTGTTGCAAACTGCAGTGTCACAAAGATGAGATTTAGTTGAGACTGCATCAAAGGGTCCATGCAAGATGCCAATAAAAAGACGGTCCCCCAAGACCCACAGCTGTGATCACTAGATTACTAGTAAAAAGACAAATCAGTAGAACATTAATACCTCTTTCAAACTAAGCATATTAGATTGCAGATGTATTTTGCGTGTTTAATTCAACCATTTTATCCATGGAGGTATCCTATTAGTGTTTCATGACCCAGTTGAGCATAAAATACTGACCAACACATGTATCAATGTTTGGTTGAGATTACAATGCAAAATTAGCATGCTTTTATTTAAGAACTTGCATTTTTTCTACTTTAATCAAATTTAATAAAACACTAATCTTTGACACTGATCCTTCATTAACATGCATGCAGGCATGCATGGAAACTCTGGGTGGTTTATATTTTCTTGCTCAACCAAGAAAGTCTCTAAAGTCTCTAAAGAACCATTTATAACCAAATAAAAAAAGTGCAGGCCTTATGATCCCTGACTTGAAATACTAACACTTACTTTGCACTTTCCCAGCAGTTTCAGGGTAATCTTATCCTTCACTGTTTCTTCCTTCCAACTGTGGTTGTAGTTGGAGGAAGAGCTGGTGACTTGAATGTCTCTCTTTTAAGGATCAAGCCAAAGTGATATGTACTTTTGCTTTTTTTTTTTGTTAATTTGTAGTCTTTGTGCCAAGTGATGAAAGCATTTTGTGTAGTACAAAACAGTGACATAAAAAAATCACTGATGCATAAAAAACAGTTAAAACAGTCTTTCTAAAGAGGTTTGCAAACCCAAGAGTTTTGCTGAATGGCCTCTATAAAAACATTCACACATATAACCCAGACTGTGAGAACAAAGAAGGAATAACTGATCTAAAGTTGAATATGATTAATTCAGGGTTGCATCGTAGGAATAGAAGTAAAAAGACTTTGCAATGACCTTTTATGCCACGAGTTCATGAATTTAATACTGATGTTTGATAACAACTCAGAGGCTGCTTTCTTACAGATCAATTGTGTAACATTTAGAAGGATAGTGTAATACAAAAACATTCAACTATTCGGGCTGCTAAGAACTCTTGATTGCTATAGTTTTATTTTATCTAAAAGTCAATTGGTAACACAAAAACATACAAACCTTTCCATTATCAGCTTTATTTGCACAATCACTGACCTCTTGCTGAACTTTAACACAATGACTTTTCCCACGCATTGGTACTTTTCATCTGCATAGCCTCATTGACTCTAATTGGCCTTTGCAGCATTTCCCATGTCTTGTGACAGCTTGTAGAGACAACCAGACTTCCCCACCCCCCCGTGCTACATGCAGCTCCTTGTCTTGGCACTCTCTCATGAACCCTAGCTGTTTGGCCTGCAGTAAATGTTACCACTTACAGTGAGCTGTGGACTCCTGCCATCGTGCTTCTGGGATGAAGTGCTAACGCTTAGTTTTCAAAATCTCACAATCAGAATCTTCGTTTTGACATAGTTAGTGGTTCGTCTAGGATTTCCCTGTTTCCATTTCCTTTCCTTTTCTAAAACTCAGAAACGTATTACCATACATTCAAATGTACTAATATTGCTGACTTAAAGGGGCAAATTCATGTTATCCGACATTCTTTTTAAATGCTTACTGTGGTTGCATAAAACATCTTTTTCCTGCTGTCCTGCTGGCGTATCCCTGTGTTTGTTATTTTTGTGTTTTATGCTTGTTTGGTTATTTTGTTAGCAGGTAAGATACTGCGTATGCACGCCGGGGGTAAACGAGGAGGAAATTAGCTAACCAAGCGAGCACAGTTAGGGAAATAATGAAGAGAAGTTCAAAATCCAGTATAAACATTTTCAAAAACATGTACGTAACTTTGCTACCACTTGGCCAGGATTCCCTTGAAAATGTTTTTTTTTTTCGTTTTCCTGGTTAAATAAAGGTTAAATAACAAAAAAAAAAAGAGGCATAAGGCTTAAGGAGTAGTTGAAATACTTTGTGAACCTTGGTGCTCACTGAAATGGGAGCTTAAGCTGCAGAAGTATACAGAACTCACCGCTAAATGAATGTTTGGTTGAGTAAACATCCTTAATAATACTGATACTAGTAATTATTATGCTTTTCTTAGGCTCTACAGTCTAGGTACAAATAAATATAATGAATAGATTGACTGATGGAAATAAACAGAGTAGTTTTCTGTCTCTACTCAAGACTACTCAAGACAAGATTAAATTCAGGGCTCATCAACAATGCACATACAAGGGAAGATTATTTTGATGTATTTAATTTGCGTTTATTAGGTTTTAGCCTATAACGTATTATCATTTATTTATATTAAATATTTCTTACCTGGATGCTGTGTCTCTGTTTGTGTTTAAATTTCTTTTTCCTTAATGTCCTGATGGGAGACTTTGGGGATGATCCACTAGAACTTAGAGTTGCTGTAAATTGCTTTTCCACATGGCATGGCAGGGTAGTTGGGCTCTATTATGTAGCTACTGTATTTGTCCCTCTGCTGTCTAACAGTTCCCTGGTGCCGCCCTGGCAATCAGGACATGTCTGTAAATGTCTACTCATTGTGCCCCTTGAGGTCTTTAAACATCATCCGGACAGATACTTGGTATATCTATTATTCAGGTATATACTGTAACCTGAGTGCACCTCTTTAAGCTTTGCGTGGTTTGTCAACATAGCTTTTGCTGAATGCCTTCAAGTCCTTCATCAGCTATTTCATGCTGCAGGATTTCAACTAATCATCAATGTTTATTGTTTTATAAAGACAATTATTTGTACTGGAATGAATTTGAGGTTGCTACAGGGATTATGGACTAGATTAGATTGTATATACAGTAGATAGCATCTAAAGTGAAATTATTTGGTTCTGTTTCTCTTTTGAAGTGCCACTATATAGATAAACGGATGCTGCAGTTCTTCCCATTTCATCACACATGAGGTCACAGCCTTGGCCAAGTTCAAAGGTTTTAGAAAGTAATGTAAAGCTGCTGCCATATGAAGCTGGGACTTTTACCCATTCTCACTGATATGAAGAACAATGTTCTAATCCCCCAAAACAAGACAAAAAATCCTTAAATATTCATTTCAAATGGGGTACACTAGTCAGCAGGATTAGTGGCAAATAATAGAAACAAATCTAACTTAGGTGTTAAGCTGAATGCTTGTTCACCTTCTTCTATTTTGATCCCAAAGTTGACATTTCCAAGAAGGACCGGATATTTCTGATGAAAAAAAAAAGAAAAATGAAAAACCCCTAAAAGAAAAAAAGTCCTCGACCAGCCTGAACTGACATACAAATATTAGAAATGCTGTATGAAATTTGTAATATTTTCACCACTATTACGCAGACCAAGGGTGTAACATCTGTTCAGGATTATTTGACCAAACCAATCAAAATGCTCTAAAACACCAGTTCTCTCTTTCTTCCATTAACTCAAACTTTGTGTTGGGACTAAAAAAAACTAAACCAACATTGAGCTGAACCAAAGAAACTCACCTTTTAAGGTCCACACAAAAACAAGCTCAGGTCTGAATGTTAAAATACTTGACCAAACCAGAGTATCACCCACGAGAGGCTGGCATGTTGGGGTCAGTAAACAAACATTGTTTTTAGCTAGATGACTCGCTGACTGAAAATACTCACTGCAGCGCCACAACTTTATCAGAGAAGCTTAGATCATCGGCCCGCCTCTGAACAAACACGCATGCATCACACTCAGAAAATGAAAACAACAATGGTGCCTGCCTACTGTTGTGTGCCTGGCTTGTCCAGTGTTCTTTTTCAGGCTTGTTAACATCATTGCACAGCATTTTCAGGTTTATTGAGAACATTCATGTAGAGACACACATTAAATGAGCTGACTTTGTGCCTACAAAATGTGCCTCTTGAAATTATGAGCTTTAAGTCTTTTTAAAGATGTAGCCTAAGCTTATAGGGGCACATGTTTGTGTTTTTAAAAGTCTCAAGTTAATTGTTTGTGTTTTCTTAAATTTAAGCCTAGAACAAAAAGAACTCCCTGCCTCTACGTAATTACAACTCATATTATCGATTTCCTGTGATTATATCTGTTGCTGAGTAAAATTCAGAGATGGCATTTCTGAGTTAGATTGTAAACACTGTTATCTTTGAATATCAGCAGGAAGTGTTAACACATCTTGTTTTTGATATCATATTTAGCTTACGTATATCAATGTTTATGCTTCTTATCAGATTAATGGGATTATAAAAAGTTTGCGATAATGGTTTTTATTTAATATTAGGGCCTCTGTTTCCAGGATAACTGGAAAAAAAGAAAATGAAGAAATCAAGAATATTTTAAACAGCTGGAAAGATGTTTAAAGGAACTAAAATAAATAAATAGCAAGGAAAATCACAAGAAGTTGCTTAAGGGAAAAACTAATATAAACAACATTTATTTTGTTGCACTGTACGCAAATCTAAATGGAAAATAAACAACGACTTAAAATGAATGCATTAAACAGGAAATTCAACTTTCCCCATGGCAAGATTGCAGTATTCTTACCACGGGGACTCATTTTATTTACAGAATTAGAGATTGCTGTAGATAATCATGATTTGTTTTGAATCAGAAGAGAAGAAGCAACAATAACTACAACCATACGACCAAACAGAAAACCAGACAGAATGAAGACTTTTTTTTGTAATCCAAAAAACTGTAATATAAATTTTAGAATCACATACTTTTTCATCATTCATCTTTCTTACCTCTGTTTCTCTCAGGTGGGACCTCGACGCTGCGTCTCTCATCAGTGCGAGAGCTGCCTGAGCAGCTCCAGGAACTTTACCAGCAGGGTTTTGTCCTGGCAGCTGTCCATCCATTTATCCATCCCTGTGGTCCAGAGTCCAACAGCCTACAGCACCAGCTATACCGGGCCATACTTGTCCAAATCAATGATGGGTGAGATAATCATTTTTGACTATTAAATATGTGATGCCCCAGGAGGAGAATCAAACTATAATGGAAAAAGAACGTCTACAAAGAAAGCATCTCAGTATTATGGCCATTTAAACAGATGAGTACCAAAACATTCTAGCGACTGCTTTTTATTTCTTATAGCAATAATAAATGCCCTCATTAATGTTTATTTTTAGGTCACTTCTTCAGCAATAAGAGCAGACTAGTTAGTCTAAAATGACAAAAAAGAAGCTCCCTTAACATAATATAGCTAATCTCGCATTTACAGAAGTAAAATTAGTTCACAACACAAAGTTATGCTGTCATTTGTGAGTATTGGCATCAGGAAAAATACTGGAGTTATTTGAGTTTTGGATTTTTGCCTTGGACCTACCAACCGTAAATGTTTTTAATGTTTTAATTTGCATATGCATTTTTGTGATACAGCATCATATGGATTGGTTTATAAAATTATGCAATCTGCTTTTTGTTTCTAATTTTGTAAACCTGTATGCCCATTGAATCATAGTAAAGTGTGAAACTGCAAAAGACTGATTAGATGCAATATCTATGACCTGATACCTGTCTCTATCCGCTCACACTCTCTATTCCAATAATACTTATAATTTTGTTTTTTTCGATAGAGTTTCACTGCCATTAATGCCATAGCTGAGGTACCATTTGGTTTTCAAAGTTATAAAGCCTAAGCATATTCTATAGTATTGTTTAGCTCTTTATTTTCAAAAATACATGTAATGTCAGGGTTAAAAACTAATATTTTTCAAAACAAACATGACAATCCTAATGCTGCGTTCACACCGGGGGCAGCTGGCGCGACAGAAGCAGCGAGTTTACATGCAAAGTCAATGGTTGACGCGCGTCAAGGCGCAGCAAAAGGTCCCGCGGCGCGTTTTGAGCAGCAGGCGCAGCGCGTCTGAGCAGCTGAAGCAGCGCGTCGGGCACGTTTTAGCATCTGACGCGCGTGACGCGCCGCAAACGCGTTGCTGCTCGAGATGGAAAAATTGAATTTTTGCTGCTCGACGCGCCGCGTCAACCAATCAGAGAAGCTGATCTGGGAGCTGGCTGGGAGAGAGACACAGCGCTGATGACACAGACCACTCTGATTACTCCTCTTAAACAGTTTATTAACGCATAATTAACTTAAAATATATACATCTGCCGGCAGAATATGTTCGCTTTTATTATTCTGGTGCCTGCAGATCGGATTATTTAGATGAAAAACACCTACCAGCCGCCGCGGTAAACCGCGAGGAGGCGACCCGGCCAGAGGCTGCTGATGAATGGATTCCTTCTGTCGGCGCACCGCCGGTATGTGGGGGTCTGAGCAGCTCCGACAGAAATAATATTGGGAGGCAGGATTGTAATCTGGATGAACTGACTGCACTGATGAAGTTTTCAGGTGTATTTTCTCACTTAAAAACATATTAAAACTACTTTATTCCCACTGATCACAGCAAATATAGCTGCAAGGCAGAAAAAGGATAGTGAAGCTCCGGCCAACGCGCGTCAGACACACTTTTGGACCGCGCAGCCAGAGCAGCAAAGCTGCTTCAGCCGCGCGTCAGAACTAACTGGTACAAGCAGCAAAAATGAAGCAGCAGACGCGATTTTGCTGCTTTTGCAGAGTCTGGTCTGAACGTAGCATAACACATGGTCAGGGAAAGAATTTGGGGAAGACTGTAAAAAAATAATCTTTTTAATAATTTATCTAAATCAATTAGTTTATTTTGACCAGTTTGAAATGTTTCAATCATAATCTTTTATGTATTCCATAGGAACTTATTTTGCATTACACAAGCACAAAGGTTACGATATTTTCACATGGAATACAATTTTAAGTTTATGCTGCATTGGGTATTTGATTTATAAAATAAATCCAGATAAAAAGTGCTTCTAGTATTTTTATGAAGCCCCCATAAATCATTGAATTAAAAAGTAAGCTCAATTAAAAATATTATCTGTCTAATTTTACAAGCACACAAACATTCACTATCTTATTAGACAAGCAAAAGGTGAAATCTGAAGGCAGAAAAGCCTCATTAGGGGAACTTATTGCACTAAGGGCCTACCCCTGAGGCAAACATGTTTCTGGGGCCTCAGACATCTTAGCTGCACTCCTGGGACTAAGACCTTTGGAAGCATAAAATAATGAAGCCATTACAGTCACTTAAGACAGCATGTTGAGATTACTAATGCACCTTAATTGGTGTCATTATGGAGACAGGACTTGGTGGGAATGAAATCATAAATGGTACAAAAATGTTATGCTGCCTGCCTGTATCTGAAATTAGCCCCAGAATAATGACTATGTTTAGAGTGGCTGTGTTACATATGAATTATTTCTGCTTTATTAGTTACATGTGAAAACAAAGCTTGTCCTTACCCTGTGAAAAAAATAGCAAAGGTCAGACAGCATTGCTCTGTTACCCACGGCAACAAAACATCTGTTTGCAGCTGTTTGCAGCTTCGTCATCAGTCTTGATGGCCCTTTGAATGTTAGCCAACATTGGCAGAATGACCTAGAGTCAATGCCATCCCTCTCGCCCTTCGCCCCTCTGTTCAAGCTTTCGTTTTTGTTTTTCTTTATAGAAACATGTGGTGGCACTTTAGATAAACAGGATACCTGGGTGGTCCTTCACTTGTGCTGTGGAAGGATAGGAAGATAACGTATTGTTTGATCACAATCTATACAAATATTAAGCATGCATATACTTTTTTTACTCTTTTTCGTCATTTAAATTTTACACAACAGGGAAATTTGTCCTCTACATTAACCCATCCCTTAAGGAGCAATGAGCAGCTTGTGGTGTTTGGGGCATTGTGGTGTTAAAGGTCTTGCTAAGGGACCCAGAGTGACTGTCTGAGGTTTGAGGCCATGAATTCTAACAGCTCTACAACTATACTTACTTTAATTTTAGAGTAAAATAAAAGCCAGTTTGTTTGATTCCCAGACTGTCACACCACCTGAGCAAAATCTTCAGAGGTCAAAACAAGCAAACAAACAAACCACCCCCCACCCCCCACACACACACAAAACAGTCTAAGCAATTTAATCTTCGAAGGAACGATCCTATTTTCTCTACGCTGGACTAGCAACCCATCCAAGGCTTATCCTGTCTCCATTCTGCAAAGACCGCTGGGGATAGACCAGTCAATTGCAGTCCTTCCAACTTAAGCGATAATAAACAATGGATAGATATCCTCTAAAATGTTTGCTCCTGTGCCTTGCAAAAGTTCTTATAACTGTTTAACATTTAACCCTTAAAGGCACAAACCCAAGCTTCGTTGTTTTATATAAGCTGCATCAAATAATGTATAGAGGTGACAACATTTATCTAATACATAATTCTACATAATTTTGTTACATATTATTCCAATACAATATAAAGATGTTTGGGGTTTTTATTCAACAAAACATTCAAAAAAAGTTTTTGCAAGCTGCTTCCTTTAACTTCTATCTTCCTTCGCGTAATTAAATTCAGTGCAGTTTCCTTGGACTGAAGTTACATTCCTCAACCTCTGGTGTTCCTCACAATAATGACTAAATAACCTGATATTACAAGCAACCAAGAGTGAAAAGCATAATAACACAAATCTCTGTGTCCTGACAGTTCCGCTGCAAACAAGGGGGATCATGCAGGAAGGAATGAAAAGACTACGAAGAGGCTTATTGTGGGAGGCATTTATTACTTTTCTCTCTGAAAAACTAATAATGAAAGCAGGATCAGGAATTGGCTTCAGGAGGGTAATGAATTTGAAATAATTTAAGCAATATTAACATTTGCTGATCCCCTTGAAAGAGTATCCGTAGCTCAATAACTAATTTAACAGCTAAAAGAGCAGGACTACAGCCCAATAGCAAGGAAAGTAATCCAGTAATGAATTTGTTTGAGCAAATGTATGAAAATAAGTAAGTGGTTTGATAAACTAGTAGAAACCCAGGTGACGAATGCTACTCTAGGACAGTCAACCTCTGCTTGCATGTACTGCCGAATGTGGACTTATTTTTCAACTCTTCAGCAGCAAGTAGTTTCTTATTTCCCTACAGTAGTGAACAGTGTGAGAAACATCCTTATAGGTGTGAAACTCTTGATGGCAGTGAATGACAACTTAATTAAATTTTTTTTAACTCCGTGATTAGTCATCAAATTTGCCACAGCTGAGCAGAACAAGTTATTACAAAATGCCCTACTTACTGTCAGTCAAGAGAATCAGTAAATTACTACAATGTTATTCAGGGCATCATCATTTTTTATTAGGATGTTACAAGTACTTGGGTTGAGGGGGATGGCATCTCCCTTCTTAAAAAAAATCATAAAAGTCATCCCCCTTCTCAAATGACCATCCCCCCATACCTTCCCCATTGACAGTTTATTACTGAATGTGTAAAATGTCTACTATATATTAACAGAAATGGCAATAATATAGCCCTTTCAACATTTGGTGGGCTGTGGGCTTACGAGTAGCCTGAGCAAAATAAATAAAATCAAAAAGGTGGCCTACCATGACTATCCTCTGCATTTGTCCTTAAATGCAGTTTATAGGGGCAGTGATAGCCATGCCAGTCCATGTACTGACTGCAGTTCTGTTGTAAGGTGCCTTGGTCAAGGTCAATGACCGGCATACCTGACATGTAAAAACCACACCATGCATAATGCTTTAATAGGATATATTAATACCGATACCACCATTTTAGGGCAGTATCGGGGCCCCGTCTGATACTGGTATCGGTATCGGTGCAACACTACTTGTAATAATACAATCTCTGAATAATAAAATTTTCCTTTGTAGGTTGATGCTGAAATGTTTTCTTAGCCATCTTAGTTCTTAGAACTTGAAAACTTCTGAAAACTCTGTGGAGCTGGTCAATACATTGCCAAATCTAAATCAGAATGAAAAAATAGCATAAACTTTAGTAAGGTAGGCATGATAAAAGCAATTCTGTTAATTAAGGACCACATATATAGAAAAAGCAGAGATAC